AAGAACAGCTAGTGCTCGTAACCACTACGTATAGTATTACCTTAATTTCAACAAAAAATCTTAATATATAAATATTCTACAGTCAATCATGGTGGTGCATGCCTTTAATCCCAGCACTTGGGAGGCAGAGGCTGGCAGACCTCTGTGAGCTTGTGGCCAGCCTGGTCTACATACTGAGTTTCAGGTCAGCAGGGGCTACAGGGAGACCCTGTCTCAAAAGACCGGGGGGGAAAAATATAATTCTTGCTATTTTGCATGCAATGTTCAACACAGCTTTAAAAAGGCTATGTTAGCAGGGTGTGGTGGTGCACGCCTTTAATCGCAACACTCGGGAGGCAGAGGCAGGCAGATCTCTGTGAGTTCAAGGCCAGCCTGGTCTACATAGTGAGTTCCAGGACAGCTGGGGCTACAGGGAGACCTTGTCTCAAAAAGACCAAAAAAAAAAAAGGCTATGTTAGAATAGCCAAATAAAATTACAACCAGGTTTGCTTAAATTCAAAGTTTTTATTAAATATGAAGCTATTGTCAGGCTTCCATCAATCTAAGCCATCAGTGTTTTTTTTGTTTGTTTGTTTTTTTTTTTGGTCACTTGTTTTTTAAACCTTATTTAAAAAATACAGACTTTTGATGTACGTTCTGTGTGGTTTTAACAAAGATCAGAATTACTAATCGTCAGCACCATTAAAGGAAGATGATGAGGGAAAGTAAAGTCTGAGGAGATAACGTTTTGCATATGGTCAAAGTAAAAATTAGGATAAAGAGAGATATTTTGTTTCCTACTGTCTTCAGTAAGAAGAAATTGTCTGGAAGACGTAATTAAAATTTTATTTGACTAAATGTGACACAGTAAAGCTGCAGAAGAAAAATAAGGAAATCTATTCACGTTACCATATAGCTTGGAACAAAGTTCAATCAAATCCAGAAGCCACTAATTCAGGCAAAGACTATGAAAACAAGGTTACTAGAGATAAAGTCATAAAATAGTATTTTAAATTAGCTTGCAGGTACATATTAAGTACCTTGATTAGGCCTAACCTGTGATGGAATGTTTCCACCAAAAAAAACTTTTATATAATATACATTACAAAAACAAAACAAAACAAACAAACAAAAACACCCTGGATGCAGATCAGGGTCCACAAATCAGAGAAATTTAGTAATTCCGTATAGCTGTTGAGATAATACTTAATCTAGTATTAGAATATTTAAAATCTATTAAACCTTTTGTCCATTAAAAAAAGTCCCAAGATCTTGAATAAAACAAAATGTGATGATTCTAATTAAAATATCCACTTAACTTAAAAAGAGAAACACAACAGAAAACAATGGTTCAATAATGAAAATATCTGCAACCCTAATGATTTATTTATTTCAACAACTGTAAGCTGCTTAATAGAGGTACATTCCTAGAGGTACATTCGATTTAACCAAAAATGATTTTTCTTAAAACAATATCTTTGTGGGGAAGAGCAACAATGTAATAACCTACAGGGAAAATTGGATCTATAGTGTTTATTATCCTTTCACCATTTTTGTATTCAGTTTCTTGTAATGATTTTGAAAATAGTCATTTTTCAGCCAGTTTCTAAAATAATTCAATATACCACCCCATATCTTTCTTATAGAGAACCACTAGAATATGCATTGCATACTCCAGATTTATCCCATCTGATGGAAGAGAAAGTCTCAGAAACTTCTGGAAATGGCCTCATCTGGAATTCCAGAGTCATCCCTGGCCAGGGAGAACACCAAGCTCCACAGCTTGAGCTGCTCATTTTTGACTCTGGAGACCTTTCACTCTCTTTTCCCGAACTTCATGTTTTAGTAGACAATTTGGAAATGCTTATTCGTCACTTATCACTGAGTGGTAATTTAGAGATTAAGGGAATGGCATGAGGAGTCCTATAGTGTAACTGTTATATGAATGGCATTATTACATTCATGCACATATACATATGTGAAAAAGAGGAAGAAGGGGGTGGGTAGATAAGGAGTGCAAAAGCAAGTGAGAAAGGGGCAGGGGAAGGAGAGAGAAAAGGTGATGGTTTCTTCTACAGTTCTGCCATTTATAATGATACAGTTATATTGAATAAAACCTTTGTAAAGAAGTCTTTTTAAAGGTCTTTCTTGGTAAGTCAAAAACTGAGGCAATTACATTAAACTAGGGGTTAAAGAATCACTGTGGTGAAGGTAAGAAAAAGGAGAAATGGACCAGCAAGAAGGGGACATAAAGAGGACAAATTAGGAGGAAAGGGACTAATAGGAACACAGTACATATGAAAATACAATAATAAAACCCATTATTTTGTATTCTAACTTAGAGAAAAAGACTAAGTAAAAGAATCTCCATGGCACAGTAGGGACTTATCCATGTATGTAGGCACAAGAGTGACAAACCAAAAAATTATGTCCTACTACAGCAAGCTTACTTTCTTATTTTGATGTTCTGAGACTTAATTTTCCATTTTTCATAAACATGGGAAAAAACACCCCTATATTCATAATAATAATAGGTTTTTTGGAATTGCCAGAAAGTGAATAGCATTCAAGTTCAAAAGATACTCTAAGGCTGGGCGTGGTGGTACATGCCTTTAATCCCAGCACTTGGGAGGCAGAGAGGGGTGGAGCTCTGTGAGTTCAAGGCCAGCCTGGTCTACACAAGGAGTTCCAGGCCACCTGGGGCTACAGGGAGACCCTGTCTCAAAAAGATGAAAAAAAAAAAAAAACCCTCTAAGAAATAAAGATATACTGACAAACACATTAAGAACTATCTTCAGCTTTGGGGCTTTGAGAAAACATTCAGAAAGATATCTTGTGCTTTTTTATAACGTGCACTGAGAAGACAGGTGTTTGTTTGCAAAAGAATCTCACTGTAGCCCCAGGTAGCCTGTAGACCAGACTGGCCTTGATCCTACAGAGATCCTCCTGCCTCTGCCTTGCTTACACCTCTACACCCAGCGATGCTCATTTTTTAAAAATACTCTTTAGAAGTGAATGATACAGTTAGGTTGAAGAAACATTGTTTTATTTAAAACAAAATGAAACAACAAATTAAATAGAAAACAGCTACTGTCGATTTTTTTAGGAATAAAAGCAAAGAAAAAACATGGGGATACCTCCTATTGGACAGCACTACACGAAGTGCTAGGGACAGTGCTGAACAAACGTATTCCTTGGAAGCAAGTAAGTGTTTATTCATGCAAAAAGACCCACTAATAATTGGATTGGTGTAAAATATCAAGCATTATAAAAATATTTTAAAAGTATAATAAAAATGACTAGGGATTTAAGTCTACCCAACTCCATTAAACTTTCAATTTTTCAGTATTACTTCTTTTTCAGAATAGTTATATAAGTATCTGTTTAGCAACAAGGCTTTACATAAACAAGACCTGAAAAATCTGTCAGTTCATGCTACAGAGTATTTCATGCTGTATTTGACTTTCTTACAGGTATGCCACATTAAGGGACACAGATAGTACAAACCTACATTGCTGCTAGTGTGAGGACTGACTAAGCTACAGAAAGCAATAAAAACAATGCCTGGCACTATAAGCACTTTATAAATGTTTAATATTATTATAAGAATTGGAGAACTGAGATATATGAAGTAACCAGAAGTCCACAAGGTGGCTCCCAAGCCTTGGCTTTTAAACACAATGGAGTTGGGTTTTTGTTTTGTTCTGTTTTGTTTTCTAAAGAAATAAAATAGTACTTATGAATATCAAGCTGACTTTTCAAAGATTCTAGTACATTCATGACTGATCAATACTTATAAAAATAGAATCTACAAAATCAATTGTATATAATAGATTTTATAGTGAAAAAAGGAGTAAATTTTATAGCTCTAAATTGGGTTATAATAATAAGAATTTAAAATGCCAAAAAAGAGAGCAACACCCAGAGTGCAGTTAACTACATTTTATATTTCAGCTTACTTTAAAGAGAAATAAACACTTCAGTTATAACAATATGCACAGAAATGATGAATGTGGCTTGTTAAGACAATACACATGAAAGCACATAGCACCAGGTCTGGGAGCTAACAATCTGCTAAATCCCATTACAAATACAACATTGCAAGTCAGCAAGTTATATAGTAGACATTTTAAACTAAAATGCACTTTCACAGCTTCATTCTCTAGTCAGCACACTCTGTTACTGCTACTTAATCCCATGCAATACAAGAAAACAGCCATAAAAAACCAAAGAAATGGGTTTGGTTGTGTTTTAATAAATCATTAATTACACAATCAGGGTTATACTTGGCCATAAGGCCATAGTTGGCGCAGCCTTGATTAAAACTAGATACAATAAAGTAAAATCTGATAAAAAGTATCTTAAGATATTGTTGATACTCAAATTACTTACAGCAGTGTATAAAATTATGCAAGAAGCCTGATGAAATGCAGATTATGATCTGGAAGCTGGGGATTTGCTTTTTAACAAGGGTACAGGGACCCCTAGGAACACTAAGTATTTATATAATATATATTTTATATTCTTTAAACATATATAATTATATTCTTTATATTCTTGAAGACTTTGTGTTCATTGTACTACATTGTGCAATATTAACCTCAGAAGCCCAAACTCAGAAAATTTTAAAGTATTAATACAGTATTAATTTAAAAGAGCAATAGTAAACCCACTGGATAGTAATTTATTTTATGAACTAAAACCTCATTTTATATTTCAGCTATATTTTTGAAAGTAGAAATAAACACTTCAGTTATAACTATAAGCACAGAAATGACAGGTGAATATATCATCCATTGAGACCTTTAAAACATTATTAAGTTGAAGGGATATGTAAGAACAAAGAATACTGACATGCATAACGAAAATCATTACTTTGTATGCTAACAAGAAAAACTGTTTAAAAAGATCAGTAAGTCAAAAAAGTCAGTAAATTTGTAAAACTGACTTAGAATCTGCAACTGTAGATGTATGTACATGATATGTGTTAGTTCCCATGTTCTCGGGCCACTTGTACCAACCTGTTTTAATGCGTGTCCATACTCTGGTCCTTGGGTAGCTAAAAAGTAGGAAATGTGGCCACAATTTTTTGCTCTTTCTATTAGAGACATGGCTGTTCTTACAGTAGCATTTCGAGCATGTACAAACACCATCACCTAAAATAAAGGAAAGCAAGTAATTTAATATTTCAGTTATTTAAGCTGAAATTTAACAGCTTGGAAATCATCACATAGAAATTATTATTGTTTTCAAACAAAATCTCCAGCCTATGAATTATCCAACACTTATTTTAGAAAAGTATATGCAGGTTAAAGGAAACTTAAATAAAATTTGGTGACATGACTTTATTCATTATTGGCCTATAAACCAACTTAATATGCTATGTATTCTTTAAAATTCAGAGTGTAATTTGTATATTTCTCTTAAAGATATGATTATGCTTTTATTCACATCATAAATATAAAATTTAGAACAATATCTGTCTATAAGAACAAGTGAAATTATTTCAATCATAGACTGAACACACTTTGCATGGTGATGTGAATAAGAGCCTTTAGGTCCCAGGAGAGGAACACTGTAGTTTGGATCTTTAGTGCTTGCCAAAGGCCTATCTGTTAAAGGGTTTAGTCTTCAGCTTGGCACTATTTTAAGGTGGCTGACACTGTAAATGGTTGGGCTAGTGGGAGTCTGTAGGACATTCGGGTATATTCTAATAATAACAAGTTGGTCTCTGGTCTCTGGTGTTCTCTTTTTGCTTCCCAAACAATATGAGGTGGGCAGCTTTGATCTACCACATGCTCCCCACCAGTATGCTAATTCTGCCTCATCACAGGCACCAAATTAACCCATGCCTACAAAACATGGACTAAAACCATGAGCTGAACTAAACACTTCCTGTTTCAACTATGATAACCTCAGGTGTTTTGTTATAGTAATAGAAAACTAACAGAGACTACAAACTACAAATGTTCCTGCATATGTGCTGGTGATTAATATTTACACTGGAATAAAATCTCTCATATAACAGTCATTCTTAAAACTGAAATAAGGGAACTGATTCAACAACTAATATTCTTTCAGGGTATATTCAAAGTAAAGTTGAAAATATAATCTGGAGAAAATCAGAATTTCCAAAGAGGAAAAAAGTCCTCCAATGAGTTTAAAGAAAATCAGCAAGTCAACTGGAAGAATTTAACAGAAAGCAATCAGTCATCCAAGGTATAAAGTCCTGCCTATATTTACTTATACATTATTTAAATGGGATATTTAAGGAAGATTTAAGGATTTTTATATAACTATTATACCCTCAAGATGACTCTTCTCTGAGCCGAGATTTTATAATACGACATTTCTATTCTCCATAATTCAAATGTTCTTATTGGGAAAATTCTGTTGAAGTAGCAGAAGGGAGAATGTAAAAGAAAATGAAATTTGACACTAAATATTCACTAATAATTTTGGTCTGACTTATCAATTCATCATTTTGTAAATTATTTTCTAATGCAGCCAAGAGAAATATTAGTTACAATTTAAAGCAACAATTTCATTTTATTGATGGATCCAACATGTCTTGTTCAGTAAAATAAACGTTTTCTTATTAAGTATTTTCTGTCTAGAGGCTTCAATATAAGTCATTATAAGGTTTTGTATCCCTATAAATATACTTGATTTTATGGTTTGTTAATATGGTTAATTTACAACTTAACACATAACTTCTAAATTCTCTTTGCAAGGGAGTTTTGCAAAATGAATTAGGGATTAAAAAAAAAAAGTCTTTGGCAGTCATGTCTGTTACTCTTTTCCTGTAGTTTGAAGTCATCATGCATTTGTAAGTCTCTAGACCTTTAGCCATGCCAACTCCATCTGTGTAAATTCTACAAAACATCAAGGCCCAGTTCTAATGATCCTTCTCTAATTTCCCCTGAGAAAATTAATCACTCTTATATAGTTATGCCTGTCACAAATATACAGGGGCCTCGCCACTATTTCAGTGGAAGGTACAATAAAAAAAAACATTTGAATACTAACAACAGAAGAGGGTGGGAGATTTTTATTAGAATTTCACAGATGAGAAAACTAAAGCTGGGAGTTTTAAATTTTGTCACTCACTCCAGAGCAAATCGGGGATCAGCCTGTGCTTATTTCCATGTAGTGCATTCCTTCCATGGATGCTGCACGACATCAGGGCTCACATTTTCCTAATTTTTCTATCTCTTTTTCTTCACAGATTCCACCCTTTATTAAATTAGCTGGCACTGAACAAATGACTACTGAATTTCTAATAGTAAATATGGTCAGCCTTCACAATAATGATTTTTGGAGCACAGATATGAAATAAAAATTATAAGTCATAATAGGAAGTGGGGTGCGTTAATACTTTCCACTAACACTGTTATTAAAATATGGGCTATCAGGGACACTTGCAATAATTAGAAAAGATTATCAACTTTCTAGAGTAGTTTTATTCAAAATTATTAACAAATCTTCGACTGATATTTAATAAACTAAAAATTTTGCTGATTAGTCTTCTGATACTGGTAAAAAAAGATACACTAATAAATTTTAATGCTATTGCAAGGCTCAAAGTTTCAAAATAAATTATAAACAACTTATGAGAAAAGCTATTTCTAAAAAAACAAAGAAATCCCGTATTTTGGACTTTGAAGCAGAGGATACTTTCCAAAACACAGCTAATTACATTAAAAATGAATCAAACTAATCAAACGTATTAAGAAAAATAATGTACCACTGACGGACATGAATAAAGAATGCATCTTAAATGCTGCAGCAAAAGACTATTGGAACTGATAAGTAAAATCAGTACAGTTATAGGATGCAAAATAAACATACCAAGTGAGTAGTACTCAGTCACAAACTACTGAAAACCTTACTGAGGAAAAAAAAAATATCCCCAAAGCAATCCCATTCACATTAGGTAGAAAAACGAAAGCCAGCTGAGACCTTAGTAGACCACCTGACTGTACCTGGATCAAGGCTCCACTTGGGGGTGAGCTTCTGCAAACTATGTGATGCCCAACCCCCAAATCAGGAGCATATGAGTCTCCCACTTCACAGGGTTAGACCTCTCTGCCCTACAGTAGGGGCTGAAACCTTAGCAGACCTTCTGAGAGTGCCTAGATACAGCCTCTCTGCCTGGTGGTGGTGAGCTTCCCCAAAGGCAAGAACAGTTAAACCTGAAACCAGCAGAAAAGAAGGAATAACAAAAATCAGAGCAAAAGTTAATGAAATGGAAACACAGAAAATAATACAAAGAATCAATGAATCTTAGGAGCTGGTTCTTTGAAAACCTAAATAAGATAGAAAGATACTTAGTCCACTTAACCAAAAGAAAGAAAGAGCAAATTCAAATCAACAAAATCAGTGGCAAAAGTGGAACACATCACAACAGACAACAAAAAGATCCAGAACATTATAAGGGAATACTTTAAAAACATGCTTTTGAATTTGAAAACCTAAAAGAAATGGATGGCTATCTAAAACCATGGGATCCACCAAAGCTAAACCAAAAAGAGATCAACAGTTTAAACAGACCCATAACATATAAGAAAATTGAAAGGGTAATACAAAACCTCCTGACTAAAAAAAGCCCAGGCCCAGATGGATTTACAGCAGAAAGTTACCAAACATTTAAAGAAGATTTGCAAAAAAAATACTACTTAAATTATTCAAAGAGATAGAAGCAGAGGGAGAACTCTCAAATTCCTTCTATAAAGCCTGAATCACTCTAACACCAAAACCAGGTAAAGACAAAACCAAAAGAGAAAACTATAGACCCATATCCTTAATGAAGATAGATGCAAAAATTTTCAACAAAATACTTGCAAACTACATATGGAAGCACATCAAAAAGATCATCCACCATTATTAAGTAGGCTTTATTCCACAGATGCAGGGATGGTTCAATATATGAAAGTCAATAAACATAAATCATATAAATGGACTCAATCACAAAAATCACATGGTCATCTCATTAAATGATAAAATACAGCATGCATTCATGATAAAAATCCTAAAGGGATTTGGACTAGAGGGAACATGCCTCAACACAATTAAAGCTATATACAACAAACACACAGCCTACATCATTCAAAATGGAAAAAAACTGGAAGTATTCCTATTAAAACCAAAATCAGGAACCAGACAAAGATGTCCACTGTCTCCACTTCTTTTCAAAATAGTGCTTGAAACTCTTGCTAGAGCAATAAGGCAAGAGAAGGAAATTAAAGGAGTATTAATTGGAGAAGAAGAGGTCAAATTATCCCTTTTTGCAGATGATATACTGTATCTAAGAGATCCCCAACATTCCACCAGCAAACTCCTAGAAGTCATCAATGCTTTCAGTAAAGTGGCAGGTTACAAAATTAATCTACAAAAATCAGTGGTCTTTCTATTTACCAATAACAAGCAATTGGAGAAAGAGTACAGGGACACCCTTCCATTCACAATAATCTCTCTCTCTCTCTCTCTCTCTCTCTCTCTCTCTCTCTCTATATATATATATATATATATATGAATAAACCTGAACAAAGTCATCAAAGATCTCTACAATGAAAATTTTAAATCTTTAAAGAAAGGGATTGATGAAAACACCAGAAGATGGAAGGACCTTTATTGCTCATAGATTGGAAGAATTAATATTGTGAAAATAACCATCCTACAAAAGCAATATATAGATTCAATGCAATCCTAATTTAAAAAGTCTAATAAAAATGACATACTTCACAGAATTAGAAAAAAAATCCTAAAATTTGTATGGAAACACGAAATTCCCCAGATAGCCAATGCAACCCTGAGCAAAAAGGGCAATGCTGGGGAGATTACCAGATCTCAAAGTATACTACAGAGCTGTATTCCTAAAAACAGCATAATACTGGCACAAAAATAGACACAAAGATCAACGGAACATCATTGATGACCCAAACCTTTGTACATGCAATTTCAGTCACCTGTTATTTGACAAAGGTGCCAAGAACACACAATGGAGAAAAGAAAGCATCGTCAACAAATGGTGCTTCAACAAATTGGATCTCCACCTGCAAAAGAATGAAACTAGGTCTTATCTTTCCCCCTTGCACAAAAGTCAACTCCAAATGGATCAAAGACCACAATGTGAAATTCAAAACTCCTAGAAAAA